ACTTCAGCAGCTAAAATCCTCAAGCCCAAGATCTGAGTTCAATCCCCGGGACCCACATGGAAAGAACTGACATTGGAAGTTGTCCTCTGACCTCCACATGTGCATCACGGCACATACACTCACATTCACATGACACCAAACAAATAAAATATTTAAAGAAAAAGAAAGGATGTAAAAAAGAGAAAAGCTATCTGAATAGACAGGGCTGGAGTCTTCAGATTCTGTGGATTAAACGTGAAGATGTGCACAGGTTCCTTACACAGCATCTGCCCAACAGAACTATGGAATTTCAAGACACACTTTTGGCTCTCAAAGACAAAGATTTTGCTGTCAGACAAACCTGTGCTGTGCACTGAGTTTCTATGTCATGGGCCATTCAAAACTACATTTTGTTTCCAGGTTTCTAGAGGCCATGGAGCTGTATTTTCCACTTACTTGTGAAGTTAGTGTTTTGATTTGTAAAATCACCCTCTGTAATTTCAGACAAGTAACACTTTCCCCTGCATTTATGTCTCAGTGTCTTCAGAAAGGCAATGGAGAGCCACGAAATGGTCCTCAGGAACGGACGCCAGGTCTTCTCTGAGGACAAGATAAGGAGTCACCTACCTGAGAAATAGATAGGTGACCTCTACTGTTTCTTTCTTTCCATCATTTCACAACAAATAAGCCATTAGGAGAAGAGCTCTAAACATTGCTCCTCTGTTTGTAATGGCCCCACAAGGATTATAAATATTTGGTGTAGAAACTTCTAGAAGAAATGTATTCTGCTGTGGCACTTTTATTGGTCCAATGGATGTTATATGTGACTGATGGTAGGACTGGAGAGTTAGTCCAGGAATTAGGACAACTTCCTGCTCTTGTAGATTGCCTGAGTTCAGTTCCCAGCACCCATACGGTGACTCACAACTACCTGTAACTCCAAGTCTTGGGGATCTGATGCCCTTTTCTGGCCTCTGAGAGCACCGAATGCTTGTGTACATGCACTCAACACACTCAAATATACACATAAATAAAAGTTACAATTTTTTTTTAAAAAAAATGGTTGGCCAGGAGACAGTTACTTGCTAGAACAAGGAGTTCCCAGGCTCCGGGGACTGGACTGAGGGCTAGCTAACACTCAATAACCAGCCGAGATTGAGGGGGGGATCTCCCCATTGGCAGAGCTCAGAAAACAAGCAATGAACTCATGTTCCATCTGCTGAGCAATCAGGAATGCTCTGCTTAGCTTCCCAGCTAGTGAAAGGCAAGGGGGTGGGAGATACATGGAAATACTGGAGAACAAAAGTCTTACTTGGATCTTTTCTAGTTCACTGTTAAAGTGTGAGGCATGAGCACTTTGCTTTGACTCCCCACCTTAGTAAATAATTTGGGTTCCTCTCATAATAACATTGCAGTCACAGCACTAAGTGCCTTGCTGCTTACACCAACTGCTGTGGCTGTGCACTGCTGTCGAGCCATGGGCCTGTGTTATTTTGCTAGTTTGTTATTTTGAAGGCGGGAATGCAGCGGCTCGCTCCTGGTCTGTGTGGCCAGCTGCTTGCCATCAGGAGAAGCACATGATTGGGACTGTGGAATCATTACAGGCCTAGTGACACGTACTGGACAAGTCTGTAGCCCCGGTCTTACTCTCACAGTGAGCTTCATTCTACTCAAGGACGTTCCCCCCAATTTTGTGTATTTATTCTACAAATAACACAGTGATAAAGGAACTCTGAAGGTACAAATTAAACTCCATTTATAATCTCAGATTTCCGTTCAGGTTTTGCTAAGTGGGATTTTATCATGTGCTTGAGCAATAAACAGTAGGAGATCGGGCTCAGGGGTCCGAAGACTGCAGTCAGAATCCTCTCACACTCATCTTCCTGCAGCATGACTTTGGGCAGGTCACTGCTCTTGTCTGTCCTCGGTTTCCTCACCCTTGAAGAGAGGGGTCTCTTCTCTAACTCAGCACATACCTGTGGAAGTTCTGTGTGCCATGGGCATACTAGGTCCTGAGTGAACCATGAATGCAGATTCTAATCTCCAGGCTCTCACAGCATAGCAGAAAACATGGACAAATAAGACCTTGCCTCTTATGCCTGTCTTTTGTACCTTAGAGGATTGTTTTGGAGTCTTAACAAGATACTTCTTGCAAATGTATGACATATTGTGATGAACTACTTTGTGTGTGCATGCATACATATGTGTACCTATGTGTTCATATTCATGCGAGTGTATGAGTATGGTATGCATGTAGAGGCCAGGGGACAACTTCTAGTGTCTGATCTTTCCTTTTTTTCTTTTCTTTTCTTTTTTCTGTCTTTTTGAGATCATGACTCTCACTGGCCTAGAGCTCACAATTTAGACTAGGCTGTCTGACTAGTGAGTTCAAGGGGTTCAGCCCATGTCTTCCACCCCAAGGCTGATTAAAAGCTTATACTACCATACTTGACTTTTTTTTTTAAACATAGGTTTGCGGAATTGAACTCGCATCTTCATGCTTGCAAGTCAAGTTGCATGTCAACTTTATCCACAGAACTATTACCCCATCAATGAAGAGCTATTTTTAGAAAAATACTTACAAATTGGTCTTCTGTGAATAATTTCACTGTGAGATGTTCTGTGTCTTCCTTGTAAACAAGAGATTTATAGTTTTATATATAAGAATGTAGTTAGATCTGTATATATGTATGTGTGTGTATATATATATGTATATAAAATAGTTATGGACTTTCAGTAAAATGGGATGGTATTTCTGATGCAGAATATTTGTCTCAGCTCTGTAGAAATGCACAGTGTTCTGTGTTTTGCCCCTTCTCAAAGGCAAATCCATCTCTCATCAGTCTCAAAGAGACACCATTCCTGACCAGAGATACAGACAGGAGGACCTCAGGACAAGGAAATCACAGGATATCATTGACAATAGTCAACAAGCCCAACTGTGAGGAGCTTTTACAAGCAGGCACAACTGAACTCATGGAGTGGCTATTTGTCTGAGTACAGTGCTGGGCAGCACGGGGCTGTTGTGAATGTTGTGGACGTGGTTATTGCTCTCTCTGTGTGTTTGTTTGCTTGTTTGTTTTAACCTAAGCTAATGTCTAAAAGCTTATTTCTGGGATTTTGTAAGTGCCCCCGTGCCAGGGTTTTTGGATAAAACAAGCTATATTAGACTGTACCACAGCTGAGGAAATCCTGAAGAGGGACAGTCTCTGAAAAATAGGAATGTCATAGCATCTGTCATAAGCCACATTCAGACCAAAATCTTATCAGTAGAATTAGCTTCAAAAACCATTCCCAAGGTTGATAGTTCTCCTGAGGGGAAACTGAGTGACACAGGGACCTGGTGGTAGTAACAGTGAATTTCCTTGAAGCCTTTTTTGTCCTATTTGTGAGCTCGATGTTGCCCTTAATCACGGGGAAGCCAGAAAAATGGCAGAAGTGAAAACTGAAGATGGCAAAGTAGAAAAATACTATCCCTTCTATAATGAAGGATCGGTTTCAAGAAAGGTAGTCCTGCCTTTAAGCATCCTGGAAAGAGACTAGAGCATCAAGGAATTAGGGATGAATTTGTAGGTCAAATTGAACTTTTCAATGACAAGAGTAATATTCATGAATTATAATCCTGGCGTCAGCCTTACCCAGAGAACTGACTCCGAGCAGAAGTTATGATCTGGGATTTATGCAAGTTGAAAACCAAGTGAGTCATACACCAGTGGCCAGTGTCTGCCTGAGGTATTTTCTTAAGGTGGTGGTTGTGAGGAGGCTGACAGACTTAGTGAAAGAGTAGTCTCATTGTTCACCAGCTTGCTACCTATCCTGATGTCAACAACCCTGTTAAAATGGAAGTGGGCATTGAAGATTGTCTGCACATAGATTTTGAATATACTAAGTCAAAGTATCACTTAAAGGATGTGATCCTTGGAAAACTTCACCTCTTATCAGTGAGAATAAAAACACAACACATGGAGTTACAGCTGCCCGAGAAAAAGATCACAGGAATTGGACCCAGCACCGTAACAGAAACAGAAACAATGGCTAAGTAAGAAGTAATAATGGAGCAGCAGCAAACGGAGAATCTATTCCCATGGCTGTTCTTAGCAGGGTGTGACCCAATTCCCACAATGAGGGATGTGAAGAAGAAGTTTTCAGTAAGGTGCTCTTTGAACCTTTTGCTTGTTTATGAGAGACTAAGGGTACTTCAAGCAGCAGAAGATCATCCTGCAGAGAAAGCACCTGAGAAACTGAGAAATCAGAGGATAAACTCTCACCAGCAATTTGAATTTCAAGGATCACAGGCATCTGTGGGACTTCCTGAGATGCGAGCAAAATTGGACAAAGCAGCAAGAACAAGAGCTTTAGCCAAGAGGTGAACTCAACAGGTTAAAGTTGGTCGCAGCATGTCCAACTCCATGTTTGCAGGTCTTCCTTATCATAAAGTACTGTCTGTATTTTACAGTATGACCAAAGAGTCTTTGTGTGTGGAGGGGGGAGGGCGGGAAGGGGGACCTTTCCAAGTTTGATTTGGGTTCAACTTATTGTCAAAGTATCTCTTGCTGAGAAAAGAGCTGTGACAAAGTCCACTAACTCATACAGTGCAGGTTCCCTGGAGCCCTTTAGGCCATACCAAGAAACATGAAACGGCACTGCTATTTTTGAAGGAACTGGGATCTGAGTGCTTTATACACACTATCTCTGTGTACATGTTCACACATGGGGAAATAAGGAGCTGGTTCTAAGGGCTACATGAATAATTCAACTTAAAGAACATTCGGGTCTCAGCATCCATGTCAGGCAGTTCACAACCCTCTATAACTCCAGCTCCAGAGTATAGGACCCTTCTTCTGTCCTCCATGGGTACTATACTCACATGCACACACACCACAATACAACACACAGAGAGACATAATTCAAAATAAAATAAAATTCTTAAAAGGAAGAAAATGGTTTTAGTTATTAAAAGGTGAGGTGAATAGGGTTTGGACAGGAAGCTTAGCAGGAAGGTAACATTCTAGATGAAAAATTATTACACAGGAAGGAGTTCATTGGCAGAAGTGAGCAAGGCATGGTGTGAAATCCATATGTTTCATGTTGAGAATACTGAGGTGTGTATTTGAGCAGTCACAGAGGACTCATACTCATTGGTTGTCTTGGCCCATTTTCTGCTGCTGTAACAAAATACTTAAGGGTGGATAATACATAAAGACAAGAGGGGTATTCAGCTCATAGTTCCTGGTGAGGGGCTGTATCTTGCATGATAAAAGAGAGCAAGTTCGCCACTTTCACCATAGCCCATCTGTCCATAGAGTCATTCATTCAGCCATAGATGCATGCATAGTCCACAGATGGATGCATTCATTCACCAGGGAAGTTCTGACCCTCGGCACTGCCGCACTGGGAACCAAGCTCCCAGTGAATGAACTTTCCAGGGACCATCACAGTGGGAAATCTTAAGTATAAATTCTGGTCTTCACCTTAAAGATAATGGGGGAATGTAAGGTAAAAGGGCAGAGCCAGTGAAAGAAACACACCCTGATCCTGAGACCTGAGCCATTGAAAGAAATGCTTTAGTCTCTAAACCCAGACCCAAAGAAATGTACCCTAACTCTTAAAACCAGTGCCAAAGAAACATGCTTTGTTCCTAGATTCAGAATCAGTAAAAGAAACATGCCCTGGCCCCAAAACTAGAATCAAAAGGCCAGTGAAAGAAGCACAGTTTGGCTCTGAGATCAGTCATCTCTGCCCTGACCAACTAAATTAACCAATCTCTGAGCAGGGAAAAACTAACCAGCCCCCCCCCCGCCCCCCCCCACACCTTCTCCCTGAGAAAACTCAGCTCCTAAGAAGCCCTTTCTATAAAAGCCCTGCACCTGTTCAGTTTGTGGCTGTTCTTCTTGCACCCTGGTAGATGCAGCCACTTTCCTGGAGTCTTCCCTCCCAGTAAATCTCTTGATTGAGGTTTGGGTGAAGACCTTTCGCCGCCCCTGCAGGAGCATGAGCAGAGACAGACATGAACAGGGCTGTTAACACTTTTCCCCGTGGAAGCCTTCCCTTAGCAGTGCCAAGATGATACAACTTCACAGGAGAAGTCAGAAGAGTGGGGGGGCATAGTAGGGCTGTAACACTTTCACTGGCGGAGCCTTCCCCTAGCAGAGCAGAGTTGTGGAGCGCCAGAGCCCTAGGAAGCCCTTTCCCGGGCAGCAGAGCTGTCACATTGGGAAACCTTCCCTAGAGCAGAGCTGTGAGCTGCTATGCTAACTGTGTGTGGTCTGTGCTATCCCCTGGCTCCCTGCTGCCAGAGCGCTCCTCCACCCAGATCTGTAACACTCAATGTTCTCTGGTTCCCAACCGCCAGAATCCCCTTCCATCTGAGCTGTGACACCTCCAGAGAGTCACTGATTGTTACAAAAGGAAAAGGTTTAAAACAATTTTTTTAAAAAAGATTTTGTCCTTTCAAGCAATGTGATCCACAAGGCAATTCTGAGTGAGAGAGTGGGGGCTCATTTAGTCCAACTCAATATTATTTTTTTCTTTCAATTCAAAATGAAGGGGCAGGAGAGATGACTCAGTTTTTACGAGCACTTGCTGTCCTTACAGTGAATCAGAGTTTGTCTCCCAGCTCCCAATCACCTGACACTGCTGTTACAGGGGAATCTGATGTCCTCTGCTGATTGACCACATAGGCACCTGCGTGAAGGTGCACATACCCACACACAGATGTGCATAAATTAAAAATTATAAAAATATACCCTATAAGTTTCTTTTATTATTCCTATAAATACTGACATTTAGAAGGTCCACTTTGTTTACCAAAAAACAAAACCTTTTCTGTAATGTTGAGAAGCCACTTAAGTTTCAAGATCTGTTGGCAAATAACATTGACAACATAAATCATTGTGAAAGGGGGTAAGAATTTACAAAAATTTGTGTGTGTGTGTGTGTGCACATTAACACATTACAGCTATAAATTACAATGGCAACAAAAGGGTCTTATTTACTCTGTTCTGGTTAACCTGCTTACAAGAACTCAAGCCCCTACCTCTATTCTAACTAAGCCTACTGTGCAGATTCACTGAGTCTGGAACATTCCAAATACATGCTTGTAAAATGACCTTGACTGGTAAAATAAATCACTCTACAAGACTGACCATAAACATAAAATGTAGATCTAATTTTTAATCAACAGATTGAAAACTGAGGACTGAGGGGCAAACAAAACTATGGCCAATAAATACAAAAAAATGGAAGTGGCAATTATTATTAGAGTTAATATTATTTAGTAATAATTATTATTTAAGGTAATTATTATTAGAGTAGAAGACATAAAATGTTTAATGTTCAAAGGGAAAAGTTTACTTTGACAGAAGCACAGCTTACCACGTTGTATGAAAATTCATACAACAGCAGCGTAGGGTGCAGAAAAGCAAAACTGCATACAGCAGTTTCTCTTTCATATATACAGTTACACATGCATAGAGATCTCTGTGGTAAAGATATATATGTGATTATACTCATAGGCATATGTGTGTAAATACCTATATGTGTATATGAAGGAATAGATTTCAGGATTTGGCCTTGTGTAGTTCTAGAAACTATTTGGCTGCCTCTGAGAGATTTATTGCCTCATCCCTGAAGCCTGAAGTTCATAGGACAATCAGGAAGGGAATATGGGTGGGGTGGGTCACCAAGAGGGAGGCATCAAGAGTACTCTGGAATCTGCCATCGTCATCTGGGGTTTATGAGAACAGACTGATATCCACTGAACTTCATCAGTTCCAATTGCCTCTGACCTTGGATGAATAGCTGACAGAAGCTAGGAGGCTTCATTGTGGAGTTCAATATGCTCACACCTCGTGTGGGGGTTGAAGAAGCTGAAGGAAGAGCCAGGCAGCGTGGAGAGGCTGCAGGTGTGTATATAACCTCATTCCAGCAAGGTGAGCCATCAGCTGAGTGACAACACATGAACTACAAACCTTTGACCTCTGGAGCTGTCGCAAGAGTTTCTCTCAGGACGCACCCTAATAAGAGAAAGGAGAAATGGGGGGCATACACTTGGCTTACCAGAGTCACAGGCAACACAGCGCTGACACAGACAGCAAAACTTTCCACTGAAGCTGGAAGGCCTTTACACAGCTGCCATCTTGGAAGCTTTGACCATTTCCCCCCAGAATTGGAAAATATCAGCTAGATAAAGAGGAGCAAGCAGAACTCTAGGATAGCCCCGGGATTTTCCCGATCTAGTGTACATACACATTATAGTCCTCCTGAGTATGAGCCAGACTCTGTGAACAGAATGAAAGCTTGCCTATGCTGTGATTAAGTTATGTTAGAATGCACAGGGGCCACCTGATGCAAGATCCCCAAATCAGTTGACATTGAGGTGATAAGAGGATAATTATTCCCAATGGATGTAGTTAATTAGGTGAGCCCTTAAAGAGTACTAAAATCTCCTCAAAGTAAATGATTTCAGTCTGAAAAGCTCTGGGGAGGAGGTCACACTGTAAGAACCAAAAGACAGCTGCTAGCAACCCATAACCAATTGCTGGCCACACAATGAAAGCCTTAGTCTCTCAACAACAAGGAAAGGAAATCCGCCAACACCTTGAGGGCGCCCACACACTGACCTTTCTCTGGCCAAGCTCCAGATGATGGCATAGCAATCAACACCTTGATCTCAGCCTCCTGAGGTCCTGAGCAGAGAAGCATCAACACCAGGCTGGATTATCGGCCCCTCGAATCGCTGCCATAATACATTTGTGTTGGTTGGAATTAAGCTTGAGATAATGCTTGATTGCTGGTAATTTTGTTATGCAATGTAAGAAACTACTACACTAATTATAAAGCAGCACAAGTTTAAATAATCACAGACCTAGACTATATAAATATATAACTTTGTGCAATGCAAAGACAAACTTTGGAAGTTTCCAGAACTTTAAAAGTTTTGATCAAAAGAAAAAAAAAGCTTTGATCATATATCTTAACCCCATGGACACATATATATATATATACATATATATATATATATGTATATATTTATATATTTATTTATTTATTAAGAATTTTCCACCTTTTCCCTGCCTCCCTGTGCCCTCCCCCGCCCCACCTCCCCCTTCCTCTCTAGTCCTAAGAGCAGTCAGTGTTCCTTGCCCCGCGGGAAGTCCAAGGTCCTCCCCCCTCCATCCAGGTCTATAAAGGTGAGCATCCAAACAAACCAGGCTCCCACAAAGTCAGTCCATGCAGTAGAATCAAAACCCATTGCTATTGTCCTTGGCTTCTCAGTCAGCCTTCATTGTCAGCCACATTCAGAGTGTCCAGTTTGATCACATGCTCCATCACTCTCAGTCCAACTGGCCTTGGTGAGCTCCCATTAGATCAGTCCCACCGTTGAGACAGGGTTTCTCTGTGGCTTTGGGGCCTGTCCCAACTTTAAAAGATATTTCAAAGCTGAAATCTTAGACAACACATTCCCTAAATATTCAGAAATCAAGCTAGACACTAGCAATAAAACTTTCCGGAATGAACATTCCTGAAATCATATTATGGACAGCCATTTGGTCTTATCCATTTGCATCTATGCAGCTACTCAATAGTGAACCATTTAATAATGTAATTAGCTAATAACATAAAAATGGAAGAACTTATTTAACATCAACTCATTCAGTACTCCAAAGCCATTTGGTGAAATTTAATGGCCATCCATGTTTAATTTTACATCTTAGCGAGTGTGGAGCTACAGTTTGGTGATTAAGAATTCAATCTGGAAGAACAACAAAATGAGATTTCTAAAAAAAAGTGAATGAGTTATCATTTGTTTTTATAACTGATTTCTCAACTTCTTTATGTGTCTTCTTTTTAGAATAATTTCAGAGATTAAACACTGCTTTAAACTATGGTACTTAGATTTTGTTAGATTGACAAATATGTTAATGTAGTTAAATTGGTTTTAAAATACATATTTTTACCTGGAACCAAAATCACACGCTGAGACTAGTTTGACCTTTGAGATGATCATCTTATTTTCCAATCATTTGCAGTGAAACAATGTTCCAGTGAGCTCTAAAATGTATACGGTGCTAATTGGTAAAATATTGACCTCAGTATTTTACTATTAACTTTCAAAATTATGTGTTTTTAAATAGGAAAGTACATATTTTTTTAAGAAAAGAATTTGTTCTGTTTTTTACAGAGGACCTGAGTTTGGTTTCCAAAACCCATATCAGGCAACTCCCAACTTCTTATAACTTCCTAGCACTGCTGTCTGCCTTCCCAGGGCACCCTCATACATGTGGCACACGCGCGCGCGCACACACACACACACACACACACACACACACGAGAGAAAGAGAAAAAGAGGGAGAGAGAGAGAGAGAGAGAGAGAGAGAGAGAGAGAGAGAGAGAGAGATGGGAAAGTCTATAGATATATTTATTTAAATGCCTTAGATTTCAGGCATGCTGGTGTACAATACACCCTTAATCCAAACTAGCCTAATTATTAAGATCCAGGTCAGCCAAAGTCAAATAGCGGGGCTTGTCTGGATAAGTAAACAAGTGTGTGTCTTAGGTATTAACAGAAACTCTTAGCATGTTAACAGGAGTGTGAAACAATGAATGGTGGATATACCAAAGACATTGTGCTTAAACTGAGGAACCATACAAGCATGTTGGTTTTATTATTTATTACTTTTGTAAAGATTTCAAACAAAACAATAAGAAAAGGAAATAAGGAAATGTTCGTATTGTAAGAGAAGAGATATAAATGGGTATTATTCAAACTTTATTAATCTGCTACTTCAAAACATAAGTAATTGTGTTTGCAATGAATTGTGGCTACCCACAGCAGGTAGGCAGGATACAGTAGTAGGTCATCTGTTTTTGTAAGTAGTCTTGTTCCCTCTGTGGGGAAGAAAGAAACACTATAATGAAATCCTGTAATACATACCTATCTACCTTTACAGGACTTTGTAGAGGTTGTATTATTGCTTAATATGCACACGAACAAACTTTTTTTTTAATTCATGTGTATGCTCCTGCATCCAAGGCACACAACATGGAGGGCAGAAGAAAGTCTCATATCATCTGCCATGCACACACACACACACACACACACACACACATTATATTTACACAAACACACATACACATATCCCAGAATTAAAACTGTAATTTCAGTTACATATTTTATATTTTTAATCTTCCCATTATAGTTTGTTTCTTCTCCTCCTCCTCATTTTTATTATTATTATTATCATTTTTATTATTTTGGTTTTTCCAGACAGGGTTTCTTTGTGTAGCCCTGGCTGTCCTGAAACTAGCTCTGTAGTCCAGGCTGGCCTTGAATTCAGAAATCCACCTGCCTCTGCCTCCCAAGTGCAGGGATTAAAGGCGTACGCCACAAATGAACTTTAGAATTAAAGTTCAATCTTTTCCCAAGCCTAACTAGTGAAGCATCATTAGCTTTGTGATTAAAGTAACAGTTTGGTATTTTCCTCATCAGATACCTAGACCGTCTCTTTGTTTACTCCTTTATGTCTTCAAGTACAAGGGCATCATTTCCTCCCCCAAGGCTTAACAAACTTCTTCAAACTTCTCTTTTCTGGAGGTTTATCTGCACTTATTTTTGGAACTGGGATCTTGGACAAAATCTTATCCTTCTTTCTATGGTTCATTAAAGTCTAAACTGGATTTCTGTGTATATGCTGTAATGGCAACATGTATTTTTCACGAGAGTGCCCTGTGCCAGTTTAAGAAGGAACAACCCCCTTCTGAGTGGTGAGCCCAGCTCTGTGGTAACTTCAGAGTTGACACACTCAGGGTGGCCAACCTCTGGCTTGCCATCACAGTCCTAGATACCAGATCTCTAAAGTCAGAAACCATGACAAAAGCATGCAAAAAAACTACCTCAGCAAAATAAAATCTGGCTTTAGTTTCCTTTGAGACAGTCTTAACTCCCGACAGCTTTATTGCATCTCTCTGCTGAGATGTATTGAACCCCAAACGAGCCCTAGTTTTCAAGAACCACACTAACTCAGTGTAAAGGGAGTGGAAGAAATTGTCCATTTATTTTCCTTTGAGAATGAGTGGGACAGAGGGAAAGTGGAGGGGGAGGGACGCGGGGCGCTGCTACTTGGAGAGGCAGGAGGATCAGGAGTGCTGGATATTGGGGGTGGGGTAGGGAGGGTGACACTGGGACACAGTTGGGAAAACAACACCCATCATATGGCTACACTGTTTCCATGCACCCCTCCTTCAGTTCAAAGAAAGGTATTTATGGCCAGAAGGCTATAAAAACTATGAACATCATTGTGCTATGAGAAAACAAAAAAAAAACTTTTCCTGTGTATGTAAAGAGGTGCTGAAGGTCTGATGTGAAGAAAGGAGGAACACAGGGCAGTGGTGAAAGTCAGCTGTTTCTAGTTTGCATTTTGGCCAAGTAGAGGCCAAGTAGATGTGTGTCCATAGAGCAGCCTTGCTCTTAAAAAGGAATAAGAAGTTAAAGTGAACCTGAGTGCTGAAGTCTGCCATTACAGATCAGAGCACTGAGCCTCAAACCTATAAGGAAAGAGTTTGGTTCTCACAAGAGGGAAGAGATAGAAGGTCTCAAAAAGCCCGACCAACTATGGCTTCTCAGGTAGAGCCCTCCACCAGAAAGACCCACTGAGGTAGGACCAAAAGGTGGGGAACTGTCATGACCAAACAGGAGGTTATTTAGACGGAGCATCCTTGAACCAACACTCCAGGTCAACGTCATTGCCTTTGGGTGCACGGCTCAGGGTGGTGACATCTGGAGATTGGGGATTTGTTTACTGTCATGTTTCTCCCCACAAAGATGAAAGGAAGACGGAGTTGCTGGAGTGAGGAGTCCACCAGAGCCTCTCCCCGAGGATGGCTGAGTGACAGGTGACTTCAGCTGCATTCAGCTTTCCACAGCTAGCCAAGTCCTGCAGCTGGAGCAGGGATCTCACAGGGCGTCTCACACGCCCAGTTCACATGCTGTAGGTCATCGAAGTTACTATTACCTTACTATAGAGAGGGCTGGGCATCTGGACGGGGCAGTGGAAAATGAGACTGGCTGCGCCCAAATGTGTCTTCCTTGGGATACAGGAAGGATAGCTAGAATCTTGCCCTTCCCATTCTGGCTAGTCAAGAGCTGCAGTTAGCATGAGAGGGGGGAGGAGAGGTGAGGAGGTGACATCACAAAGTAACTGTTAACAGCTTCAGTTGTTCCTAGCACGGGGCACTTTGGACACTTACAAACGTCTCGCAGCTGCCTGGTAAGGGTCTGCTACTGACATTTTACCGTGATAACGTCAGAAATGGATCTGGGAGGTCTGGGGCTCCGTTTTAATAGAACTAGACATAACCAATTTTCCGTTAAAAGGAGCTTGCTTTACTTATGCCTTATATTTATGACACATTTGTACAAGAGAATATTGCACAGTCATTAGAAAGATGAATTATACATTGGCATAGAAAGGAACAGAATAGATTCTAAGAGAGCAAAACCAGTTTGATCAAGTAAATTTCTCACTTTTAGGAGGAAAAGTATTGTACATATCTACTAATGAGAATCGTACAGGAGAGTATTTCAATTCTGGTTATCTCTGAAGCCAGGAGTTATGCTATTTTGATGTTTTACTTTAAATGTTTATAACTTTTTTGAGTTAATATTATTTTATATTCAGAAAAGTTTGTTCCCCCCCGCCAAAAAAAATCGAGGGGAAAAATGGAACAGCCAGATGAAATGGTAATTTGAAGTAAAACAACTTTGAAAGATTGTTTTCAGCATAAGAGAAACTTGGGCTTGTTTGGGGCCCTGGGATGAAAGTCAGTTTAGGAAAGAAAGGAGGTGAGGGGAATGTTAACTGGCTGGAGTCCCCAGAGGCTGGATCAGAAAGCCAGAATGGGGCTCACTGCAAAAAGAAGACAAAGGAAATGACACAGAAACAAACCGAGGCAAACTTTTGAGAAGGAAGGACATGAAAAGAAGTATAGCCGATGAACCTTACTTGTTTTTCTCTGGAACCCCTAGGGGAGAAATTAGCTGTGTGGGAGCTGGAAGGGCCTAGGGGAGACATGTGCCTGCTGTGGAGAAGGAAGCTCAGTGGGATCCGGATGACCAAGTGTATGTGGGAGAACTTGGGGGTCCAGCCCCAAAGCGATGGATGATTGTAATTCATGGTGCAATCGAGCCAGCCATGGACAGGAAAGGTTAACCGGGGAGCACTATCAGTGCCGATGCTGTGCTACAGTTACCTGCCAAGGGACAATCAATACAATGATGTGAGTTTCCCTAGAATCGTCCAGCTGTCCGGAAAGAGAACGCTTGAGACAAATCCACGGCCAAGCATACCCACAGTTGGGCTTGCGCAGTGAGGATGGAGACGAGAGTCAACGGGTTAGTGGAACCCGAGATGCAGGTGAGTGCATCATGAAGCCAGGCAAGCCCACAGTAAGAACGTGGTGAGAAGAGAGGCTGGCTTTGTGAGAATGCTGCCAGGCAGATTTCAGGAAGAGCACGGATGAAAAAACAATGAGGAGTGGACATTTCAGTCAGTGAAATGAATCTTAGTGTTAAAGACTTTGAAAGAGAAACAGTCCCAGGATATGATATAGTTTCCAAGTGTGAACAGACAGAACTGGAGTGGAGCCCAAGGGACAAGGCAGAGGGAGTAAAAAAGTGAGATCAGGGTAGGGGTGTCAGGTTTGTAAACAACTGGTGGTCTCCTGAGTGGGAAAAGGCAGGCACACCAACGAGAATGCTGGATCCAGGGAGGGTCACATTCAAATGGAATTAAATGCACATCGAAGGCTGGTCTTGAACACTCACTATGGAACTGAGGCCAGAGAGCCCAGCAACTTTAGTTAGAATTGTTAACAGCAGAATGGGTCAAGGTGTTGACTAGTGTGGAGCAACCTCCCAGGTGTCTGCCTTTGGGGTTTTGGTTCATTGTACTTTTTATTTTATTGGGCAGGGTAGCCATTTTGCAGGACTTTATCTCTTAGACTATTAATCCTTAGGAGAAGAGATCTGGTTTTTAATCTCCAGGGCCTAATGCTGTGTCTGATGCATGGCTAGTATTTAGTGAAAAGTTTTCCTGGATGAATGCATGAAAGGATGGGTAGGTTGGAGGGGAGGATGGATGGATTAATGAATAAATGAAATAGGATGGATGGGTAGGATAAAGACTGGTGGATGGATGGGATAGGATATAGGCTGATGGCTGGGTTGGGATAGATTAACTTATGGATAGATATCATTCATGGATTGATGGATGGATGGATGGATGGATGGAGTGGGTGAATGGATGGGATAGATATGTGGATGGAGGGATGCATGGATGGATGAAGAGGGTAAATGAATGGATGGGGTAGATGAATGAATGGGATAGATGGATATAAAGATGGGGCAGACAGATGTGTGGGATGGGTGAATGGATGGGATAGATATATGGATGGATAGATGGATGGGGTAGAAGCATGGATGGATGGAGAGGGTGGATGAATGGAAGGATGGATGGATGGATGGACGGACGGATGGGATGGGATGGCTACATGTATGGAAATTACCAGTAGCCCCATGCATCCATTTAGAACACTGAAGGGGACCACAAGGATCCCTCCCAAAGTGGAGAAAGGGCAAGGTGATGTTCACTGCTTACTTTCTTAGGGTTCTTGGGAGATTTTACTTGGCGGCTAGGGACAGAAGTGAGGAGTTACATTTGGATGGTAAGTTATGGTGATAGTGAATGCTAACCTTCACGTTTGCTCAGTCTCTGTCTCTAGGCTCTTCCTGCTCTCTCTCGCGGTCAGTCCTAACGGCTTCATCTGTTAGCTCCCTGGACACACCCTTTTCGAGTGGGCCCACATTGCTTCCTTCCTCCTATCTCTCATATGCACCTGCAGCTGCACTTCACACAAATAGGATTCACAGTGCTCACTATGGTCTGGTCTTTCCCAGCAAAATACCTCGATGGGTCCTTTTATTTTCCACATCCCATCAACCCTTTTCATTTTAGAATGCGAAGAATCATTAAATAGCTTCTACTTCTTCATTTTGAAACTTGTTCCTCAGCTCTAGAATAATGTAACACCCCTGTGTGGATCTGTGTATGGCTGTTTTATGCTCCCTTTAATCTGATCTCCAGCTCACAGCTAGGATTATCATTTCAATTAGTTAAATTTGTTCATTGACAATTTTATAAAAATTATATGCACTTACATTCTCTCTGTGAAGATTTTAATTTTTGCCATTGTTCTTGCTCCTCCTTCTCTTGGTACCCCACCTTTTCATGCTTTTCTCCCTTTTTTTGATTGAGCTATACATTTTTCTCCATTCCCCTCCCTTCCTTCCCCTCCCCTTCTACCCTCTCCGATGAACCCCATGCTCCCAACATACTCAGGAGATCTTGTCTTTTTCTCTGGCTGTACCACCCTGAACATGACCAATCTCATCTGTTCATTGACTGTGTAATGTATACTTAGAGCCTTCTGTTTACTCTCTGTCCCTACCCTTCTTTATCTCACTCCCCCACCCCTGCCATCAAGCCTCCTTCTCCCCATTGGACCCCTTCTCACATTTATGTCTTTTTGTTTGTGACCCATTCGTTTTTGTTTTGTTTTGTTTTTTTCAAGATGGGGTTTCTCTGTGTTGTCCTACCTGTCCTGGAACTTGCTCTTGTTGTAGGCAGGGCTGACCTCAAACTTAGAGATCTGCCTTCCTCAGCTTCCTTCCATGTGGGGATCAAAGGCATGTACCACCACCACTTGACTTGTGACCCACTGATTTTAACCAGAGACTGTCTGTGTGGTCAGGGGTTTGGAGAAACTCCCTGGGGCCTGGTGAGCTCAACCCTTGTTAACACAACTGAAGAAAATGACTGTCTCTTGCACAGAATCCATCAGTTGCCAGTAGTTCATCAGGGACTGTTAGCGGAGGATGAACTTTTTAAAACTTGAAGATCTAGTGATCTCATTTGCCTGCCTAATCTAACTCCGATGATTTATGACACTTCTACCCTGACACACAATTCACGAGACTCAACAGAGTCTGGTTCCCTGACCCCAGCTTATCCTGCACACTACTCACTCCTTCATTCTCTCCGGAGGCTAACCGCCTTGGTGGGTGTTTCTCTCATTCTCTGATAGGTACCGTGTTGCCCCACCCACTCCACCCCTCAAAGCCTTACACATCCACTTCCTTCCCCATTTCAAGTGAGTAAGCCTTGTGCCTCCTGATCTCAGCTCAGACATGCCATCCTGGGAGACACTACAGAGATCTCTCCAGCAAGGTGAACCTCCCTTGTCATATTTGAGCACAGGGATACAGTCCCCCCCGTGGAGCATGCGTCTCAGCTGCAATTGTCTATTTGTGCCTGTGTGATTGTTTCCTGTCTGTTGGTCTCCATCATACTCAGTCCTATGACAGGCAGGGAAGACTGCCCGGCTTTTTTTGCTAAGGGCTGTGCTTGGCACACAGCAAGTATGCCATAAATATTTATCAGGTGAGTGGATGAACACTCCGAAGAACACCCTTTGTCTTTAAGCTGAAGTCAGAACAATAAAGTCCTGTTTCTCTGGTCTAGCAACCAGGACTTGGGCATAGCATGGTCATAGGAAACTCTCCAAGACAATGCTATCCATAATCACTTCTGCATTTTATTATCTTCTCCATGGCCGTGTAATCAGGAGCTACAGTCAAAATACTAGGTTCTACCCTGGGTTTTGCTATAATGTGACTTCTTTGCTCTGAACTGTAAACCTTACCTGCAGCTTAGGTGTTTGCTCGTGCCCTTGGGCTCTCCCCAGCCGCTCTCCTCACATGCTCTCCTCTCTTCTGCCTGCCTGCCTCCTCAACTGGAAAAGACTGGAGGCCTCCTGCAAAGGTAGGGGAGGGCCCCAAAGAGGAATGAAGCCCAGCAGGCTGCTCTGTGGGAGGGAGGAAGGGAGGGAGGAAGGGAGGGAGCACAATGTGGGTTCTAATTCAGTGGGACTGCCTGGGGGGTATTGAGAGGGGACAGCTGAATTTCATCTTTTCAGGCAAGCCAGCTTTGGAAATCAGGCCTTGCTTATTGGGCAGGATGTCAAATGTAGTCTATTGCCTGCAAAGACGTTGATTCATCAGATTTGAACTAGGCGCCTTAGTGAACCATAGTCACCCCTTTCTTCTTTAATTGGGGTAGCATACAATCTGACTGCCCTCCCTCCTGGCTCAAGGGACTAGAAGCTCAGCCCTCTGGTGTACATTGTTCCTTTCTCTGTCATTTTGATTCTTGAATCCTAAACTTCGCTCAGTAGGAAGGGAAACCATGAACAAGGGGGAGTTTTCGTCTTGGCCTGTAAACTCACCTCCTTAAGCCTTTCTGATGGCCCCTTGTGTTAATTTAGCTGTCTCTAGAGCAGTTCTCAGCCACTCTAGAGGACTTTCATGAAATCCCTGAGGCCATGCCAGCTGGAAATGAGGGTACTGATCTCTGGGACAACAAGCCTCTTTATCCCTCACACCCTCCAGTCTGGTTGAAAATCTTGGGCAGAGAGTGCTCACAGTGAAGGTATCCATAGCTGACCTAACAGTTCTAAATTAGCACCCAAACTACCCACTTCTGAATAGGGAAAACAAATCACCAGAAAGACAAAATTGTGTAACGTGAATCTCTTCGGGACTAAGGGTGGTTTGGCAACACGACCAACACAGCATCTCTTTTTCTCATCTCCGGGGCGGGGGTGGCGGAAGAGTCAACAACAGAAAAAAAGCAGTCAGAGAATAAAGGTAATGATTAATCTATCAGGATCATATTGAGGATTTGGGGTTATAACTCACTAATTCAGCAGCAGGCAGGGCAGTCCCTGAAAGCAGACAAAGATTAAGTCACAGCCTCTAATTAGGACAGCCTTTGCATAGCCAGTATCTCCCCAGCTGTCTCAGGGAATGCGCCAGGAGCTAAGGGTTCGGATTTGTTTTCTTTTTATGTGGTAGCGAAGGCCAAGGAGCAGGACAAGCGGGCCTTGGTGGAAAGCACACATCTGGCAGAAACTCCAAGATGCCTTCCCAGAAGGAACGCACCAAGAGGAGCCTCACACAGAGGCTGGCCCTAAGGAGCCGTGTAGCTAAGGAGACAGTCTCTGAGTTCCTGGGCACCTTTATAATGATCGTGAGTATTTCCTGATTTCCCCAGTTCTGATCTGATGCCACCTTCCTGGCTGCCAAGCTACTGAAACAGGCATTTGTCTTGATTTGTCTTCTTTGATTATCAGCTCCAGCCTCTTCCAGGAAGCAGCATGTCACTTTCTAGGTTGTCTGGCTATTTGGTGACCCTGTGAATTTCATTTTACTGTCAGGTTTACCCAGACAGCTGATGGGAGCAGAGGATGGGGGGGGGGGGTTGGAGAGCTTTCCTCATTGTGGCTTCTAAAACGGCTATGTGATGGAAGAGTGAGTTGCTAGAAATCTCTTCTAGATGAAGAACTGATTTGTGTGCTCCGCTTGCTTCCCATCAGGTGGCTGAGTCACCTGGAATAAGCATTAATGGTCAATAAATATGAACAGCATGAAACAGGCTACCAAGAGAGGTGCCTGGCAAAGGCAGTGCTGTCAGATCATCTAACTTTAAAAAAAGAAACAATCACACATCCATTTGTGTGTGTGTGTGTGTGTGTGTGTGTGTGTGTGTGTGTGTGTGTAAGCAACCTGCTGGAGTTGGCTCTCCTTCCACCATGTAGGCTCAAGGGATGGAACTCAGGCCATCAGACTTGGTGGCACCTTTATCCCCTAAGCCATCTCACCACAAGGGATTGGGGGGGTGTATGTAGCCCTGTGTTGATTTCATATAATTTCCCCCTTTTGATTTAACTTGGCTTCAACAAATCTCTAAAGATCTTTCAATAGACAGTTAAAAAAGCTTCGTAAATGTTAATGAGGACTGGGCCTAAGAACCTCCACACAGATTTGTTCAGCTATGAGTGGGGTTGGGGGAAGAAGAGAGAGCGAACAGAAACTATTGTAGGTGACTAAAGCGGTGTGAGCCCTGGCCCCAGGCTCTTACTGTGCCACAAATAATGGACCCTGAATTCCTAGCTGAACTCTGACCCTTTGCAACGAGAAAATTATCATGGGACAACTATTTATTTTGATTTAACTTTTATAAAGCACCAAAAGACCCTACATTGGGCACATTTTCATTTTCTCAAGAATTTTAGAGAATTGTCTTCAAGTTTTACACATTAGGAAGTTCTTGGCTTTAGATCAGTGAGGGGGATAGGAATAGAATGAGTCAACTGAGTCAAGACAAGGAGAGTTAAAAGATAGCTTTAGGCTTCTTACCTTTCCCTGGCGGGAAGCTCCTACTTATTCTCATCGGAGTCGAGCTCAGAACCTCAGTCAGGGCAGTCAGAAGGATAAGAGAGAAAAGAAAAAAGGCCCCAAGTCTTCTTATTCCAGTCAGAGCTTTCTGGGAAATTGCCCTCTGCCAGATATGGAGATGGTTGGGTCTTCTTTTGGATAAAGCCTCATTATGTAGCTCTAGTTGGCCTAAAAACTCACTATATAGATCAGGCTGTCTTCAAACTCAGAAATCTGCCTAGCTCTGCTTCCAGAGTGCTGGGATTAAAGGTGTGCGCCCCCCAATGACCATTGGGGCCATGATATTTGGCATTCTAACCCTAAAAAAGCATCACCACAGGCGGATTTCAGCCTACAGTGACTTATGCAGAAAAATGAAGTCAGACCTATATTAGCTCTTAGTGCAGGCAATAAAGAAGTGAGCTCAGCTTCCTTCTTACAACTGAAAATGTTTTAAACTCTTCCTTGTTTCTTAAGAATCAGTTTCATTATTCCATTGCTCATTGAGGAGGTGAACGCTGATTCTAGCCATTCACCGTTGTGATCATGCAGCCTTGCACCATCTTCCCCAATGTCAATATTATCATCCCGTCTCCATCCCCAGCGCTGGCCCCAGATAGGAGGGCTTGTTGTTTCCAAGGCCAGAAATTCTGAACCTCCACCCCTGCCCTTTTCAAGCTGGCCATAAACCCTGGAAATACTCCATGAGATTATAGGTCATAAGACCCCCATTTCAGGAGTCAGCATCATACCCTGGAAGAAGGAATGCTGTTAAAGAGAAGGGCAGAGAAGATTCTGGGCAAATGAGCCTTGCTGGCTCTCTGCTCAGTGACTTTTATTAACTTGTTTTTTGATGCCTGGAATCAACCCCAAAGTCTTGTATGCAATATGCACACACTTCGCCTCTGAGCAATGCCTCCCAACCACAACCTAGTTATATAGCCTTGCACAATGCTTTGACACTTCCTCATTCGGCCTCTTGATGTTTTAGTCTTGTTTATGTGGTGGTGTCGTCATAAGACAATTGAACTGAACTGAACAGTCCAGACAACAGCTGAACAGGAGGAGGTGCCTAGAGGGTAGATGTGGATTCTGCACCCCTCCTCTTAGCCATCATTCTTCTCTTCCCCTGTACCCCTTTACAGAATCCTTTAGGAGAAACATGTAAATTCAGGGTTTCCCTGAGTTCTCTGAGATGCACAAGCCAAACTAATGGTACCCCAAGGAGGGGCTTGTAGGAACCTCAAATTAGAATAAATCAGTCAGAAGCACAGTTCAAACAACCTGAAGTTCACCAATAGGGTCTGAAGTGGGGGAAGGTGACTCTTGAGGCCTGAGCTCTCACCCTGTAGGATCCTTTGATGTCTCCACGTGGACTGTATCAGTGCTGAGTTGGAGGGCACCTCTTTGATGTCTACTGCAAACTAGATGGTTTGGTTGCCAGTGGGGAGCAATCCCACATTTTTTGGGTTCACTGTGATCTTCTGTGTTGATTTCTATGGTATGAGAACAGTTTCACCCACACAGACCAATTATTCCAGGAAGAAGCGAGACATAGACTATCTGAATGTTGCATGGTAGAAAACAGAACTTTATGTCTTCTGACTAAAGGTAATTCTGTCATGAATGATTAATTCCTATTGCACCAGATAGTTATTTGTTAAATATAATCTAGAACTTTGGTTGTCATGTTCTGTTTTGTCAAAGCCTTAAAGAGAAATGCAAAAAAGAAGTGTATTTTTTTTAAAATAATGAATTCCCATACAGCCGGATGACAGATGAGGCCCCTAAAGATGGAATCAGCTTCGTCCATATTGTATCCAATACTTTCCCCAGCATGTAACAGCACCAAGGTAGGGTGGTGCAGTGGACTGGCTTCCTACATCACAGACTCACATGCTATTGCCGTCACTGATTTATGAAGTCAGGCATCCCTTCCTCCAAGCTCAGACATCCTTCCCTCCAAGCTCAGAGAGCCTTCTGCTCTAAAGTCTATACATGTAAGGCAGTTCTATGAGTTGCTACTGCCTCCCCAGCTTCTCCACTTAGTGGCTGGCATTGTCAGAAAATATTTCACTGATGTCCCTCTCAGCTCATTTCTCTATAAAACCTGGACAGAGTTCTTGTGATTTGTAACACATAGTTTTGCTCAAAGTCATCCCGTTACATTATTCCTGCTCTACTGGCAAATGCAAATCTTACCTGTATTTTTCTAGTAACAATTTGCCTATTGACAAGACCTGAGAGGGATCAGGACCACTCCCCGCTCCTTAGATCCCAGGAGTCTGATGGCATCTGCTTTTGTTGTAGTCCCTTCAAATGCATTCATGCCATAGTTGAAATGGCAAAGGCCTGTTGGTAGCCTCTGGGAAAGAAAATGAAAAAAGTCTTTGTAAACTGAGGCTCAAAAATCACCAAGGCATGAGCCAAAGAACGAGCTGAAATTTGGCCTGTTAGGCACTGGGACCTTTTAGACACAGACTTTATCCTTACTGATGTTAGGGAAAGGTTAGCAATGCATCCACCTTCTTGCCGAGGGAAGGTTTGTCATTTTAAACTGGAAAGAAGGGAGCCTGTGGCAAGTTCCAGACACGTATCTGGCTCTTTAGTTGTTTAATCACCAAGATAGCCATATTCGCTGTTGCTATGAGTAAATAGTTCTATCAGTAATAACAAGTTGCAACAAACAGTTGGCTTCCTTATTATCATCCATAAACAGTTGAGGGCAAGGGAAGGGAGAGACCTCAAAAAGATAAAGGTTCGCACTCAGAAGGTGTGGATTTCTTTCTAATTCTGGATCTTATGCTTGCCATTTCACTTCTTATCCAAGGCTGGAATCCCTTGGGGATACTGTATGGTAGGTCTGATCTCTTACCCCTTGTTCTCCACACACCTGCTTCAGCATTTCTGCAGATGGAAACCAGGAGCTGGGGGCCATAGGAACTGAATGGTGAATGGGTAGCCAGGCTGATGATACTAGGCATGGTAGCCAGGACCCCGTGTCTGGACACACATGAAATGCAGATATGAGGGAGTCGAAGGCTGGAATCACTTAGACCTGGGCTGGCGGCTTGGGATAGTGAACTGCAGAGGTTGTACTAGCCCTGAGATTCCCAGAGAAGCCAGTACTGTCCAATCGCCCCAAGCTTGGTCTCCTTGAGTCTCAGTCCCCTCGAAAGGAGCTAATATATCACAGAGATGAGAAGTCAGTGCACATGGTATGTAAAGTCTCTAGCATCAGAAATGGTCATAGAATTGTTTTTTTTTGGGGGGGGGGGACTCCCTTTCCCCTGTTCCTGCCTGGGAGTTCGCACATCTCAGACTCCTCCTGGGCATCTTGAGATGGCTTTCCTCTGTGTCTCCCCCCAAGCTCTAGGCAAACACAAATAGGACCCCGTAAGTACACAGAGACTTACAGTCTCTTCCTCTTCTGCACTCCTCAGGACCTGTCATGATGTTGTGTGATTTCTCAGAGAGGTTATATTTGCCTTTCATTGTTCTATGTGCTTGCATCTCTTTCCATACTTTTCAGGATTCTTTTATACAAAGCTCCTCTTAACCTTGATGCTGAGAGCAATGTCCCAGCTAACTTCCTCCTCAGGAAGGACATCCTTCTGAGGTGGAAGCATGGGCAGTGGGGAAGACCCTTAATTCTCCTCTTACTACCAAAGCCTCTTCCATATTAGAGATGGATCTCAAGAAAGCATAACTACTTTAAATAGCTGTATGCCCTTGATCTGTGCCCTCGAAGGAAATCAAAAGAGATTTTCTTGGAACACAGAATACAGAGGGGCAGGGCCATGGGCAGTGAGG